AAAACTTGAAATTCGGTTGTCATGTGTGGATTTGAAATTGTTATATTAATTTGTGGATCGTAAATTATGGTTTTGCCTAGTCACTGTGCCCAACTGAACACCTTTACGTGCTGCCAGAACTCTCATTTATTCATTGAAATTCTGATTTTTTACAGATCCATGAATATGTCATTAGCCACCACAACTCTCAAAACTGTTTGAAAAATATACTCATACACTCTTGATGACACTAATCTTTATTCTACATTATTATTACATTTCCATCTTAATTTTCTTCAAATTTTTACCTCTCATAATGCATCATTTTATCCAACCTCTTTACAACTTTTATTTAGCCATTTCACTCCTACTATTATGAAGCAATGCGTCCTACGTTGAGCCTAAAGTTTGTTGCGATCAGCCCAAAGCTAGCTTCTTTCCTTTCCCTTTCATCCAAAGCTACTGACGCTCTACATCTCTTCACCTCAGCCAACATCTTCACCTCAACCAACCTCTTCACCTCAACCAACCTCTTCACCTCAACCAACTTAATCGCTTTCCTGGAACCCTCTCTAACGCGTTACTATGATAATTCACCTCAGCTCTTTATTTCTTTCATTCAACACTCTCCACTTTTTACCTGCACCTTTCCCTTTTCATATTTAATCCATCTTCACCTTCCTACTTGTACGCGTTACCTGAACTATTCTNTTTAATCCATCTTCACCTTCCTACTTGTACCCGTTACCTGAACTATTCTTGGAACGGAAAATCTAATCTCGTATCCCGAAACTTGCCATTCTTCTTCTTTGTTCGTCTTGCGGCTTCTCACTTTAGCACTTACATTGCAGCGCACTTGCAATGCCATCATCTGACATCAATATTGAGCCATATCAATTGTAATATCAGCAACATGAAATTTTGACAACTGTTTCTAGCAAAATCAGTAATTCACAGCGAACATTTTTAATTCACAACCCTTCTTTTCGAGTGCAACTCCTCTCATCCTAACTAATTAATTGTCTCTGTCCTCCTTATCTTCAGTCCCTACTTCCATCTTTCTTACCCGTCGTCGTCGACCTCTTCAATCCTTACTCCTCCTTACACCGCCGTATTATCACCTGTCATATCCCCCTGTTTTCTCCCACTTCTACCTGTACTCCTCCATTCTCCTATATGCTACTCCTATTTGATACCAACACTACCGTCCTATCCTGTCTTCCTGCTCTGATATCCCTGCACCTACTGTTTTATTTACATTCCTCCATTTCGACCAACAACCCCGGTTCCCATACCCATTTCTAACCGCCTTCTAAACCTCATTTTTAGTCTCTTTTTTGCCCTTTTCTCAACCTATTTATTAACCCTTTTCTTAACCTATTTAATGACCCTTTCCTTAACCTCTTTCCTACCATCTTTCCTAACCTCTTACCTTAATTTTGATCCCTACTCATCCTGCGTAATATTTGATCCTTAAACTTCTTTCCTCTTCTGCCTTCCTGCTACTGCTTATTCCCTCGTCTTCTTCCTTTCAATCCTCCCCTCATTTTCACTCCCCACGTCTTCCCCTCCCTGAAGCCGCCTTATCCTGCGTGGCTGTTCCATCAGCGAGCTTCCTCTAACTTTGCAGAAGTTTGGTCGTGTGCCGCAGCCTCCCTCTCCACTACTCTCCCCTCACTACACTACCTCCCCTCAGCCCCTACCTCACCCTCGTCTCTCTCCTCCCCAACTTATAATCAATATAACGCAAGAGCATCTTTCGAAGGGGTTGTTGCTCCCAGAGGCTACTGAAATTTTTACCGCATTATGATGAGTTTCTTTTAGTTGTAGTGGTGTTCCGTGCCTCAATATTTAGAGGGCAATGTCGTTTTATTTAGACTTAAAGAGGATCCCTGGCTCTGCTCCGACACTGGCTTGACTCCTTTAAGTCCCCACTCTTTTCCTGACACTTTACGCCCTCATACCTTTTTGCTGTCTTTTCTGTGAATTCATTCTTCTCGGTGAAGGAGGCATTTTCACGGTTGTTTCGCTCTGATCTCTTTCTTCTAATTCATCATCTATTTGATATGCATTTATTTATGCCTTCGCCCTGCTCTTTAATCTACTTCCTCACTTGTACGTATTCAAGAGTTTAGTATTCACCTGCAATTTTTCTCTACAGATGAATTGGAAAATGCAACCACTGCATTAATTCTCACGCATCACGCTACATTTCTCTTTTGGATGTAATTATGCTCACTAAGTAGATTTTACACATTCGTCTTGCATAGAATTAATTTTCTTATTTGCGTTTATTCGTTATACCTTTGATATATTCTCTGGGCTAGAAGTTCTGTTTTTTTTTCATCAAAGCTAGCAAATCGTATGGGCAACTCATATTTTAGATAAGACTTCTGTTGTATTTATTTTAGTTCGCCGAAAAAAATATTATGAAAAAGTTCAGGAAAAATGTTCAATTTCATTAGTGCCCATTAAGGCCCATTAGTGTATGACTCATTCAAATAAATGTATATAATTATATACGGTAGACAAGTGAATAAAATGTAATATATAGAGGCATTGTACCGTGTAAGTGTTAATTTAGTTAACATATTTTTCATCTCCTCAGGCGAGCCAAGCGTGTTGTGAGCGACTCTTGCTCTAGACGAAGCCTCTGCTTTTTAAGGTAAGTGAACAAACTTATAATCCACCCTCATTCTTCTCCCTCGTGTTGATGCAATAGTTAGTGTGAACTGCTTGTCTCGTCAGCTCGATTCTTGTTAGTAAATTTAACACAAGCACGAATGTCCCTGAACTTTTCTGAACTCAGAATTCGATGGATTAATATTATTCAGATGGATATTAATCTGAACTATGGATTGATATTATATCACTCATAATTATTACAAATTATAAATTTTAAATAAACATTCAAACGATTTAAAGTTAAATACTAGTTCTAGAATCAAAACCAATTTTAAAATAAATAACTGCCCTCGCAAAATTAGATGCTACCCACAAAACAAAGCCTAACCCACGACTAGAACGAAGAACTTGATTAACGGCAAGAATGCACTCGTGAGGACCGTTACAAGTTCAATGTTAATTCCTGTACTAACTTATATTCAAATTCCATCTGACAATTTGTCGATGTATTTAACTTCAAGTTTTTAACTCGAATTTTCATTTTGAATGCGTTGCAGTCAAATTTTTTCAACCAACCACTGATTTATGTCTCACTAACTGTTGTAATTGAAATAGAAAATATGTTTTACTCATCCGTTTTCATATCCTCCCACTTCCTTGGATAAGCACCCGGTAACCCGCACAGTTGATGCATGCAACCTGCGTGGAAATCGTCCAAAACTGAATTAAGCGGTTCAGTTCAGTTTTGTTATTTAATCGGCTGCTTTAGTAGAATCGGACGCGCAGCAATGGCAATAAAAGATGTAGTTTTAATCGCAATTCGGCATAAGTCTGGAGTCGCCTCCCCTGCCAGTCTGCTGATGAGATATCACTTATCTCTTTTCAGGAGCTGGCAGGTGGACGGCACTCAACATTCTTATCGCCCTCCCCCGCGCCTCTGGGAGTACGCGGGTGGGTCCATACGGCGCGGGGATTTGAGCCGCTGCTGCTGCGGGCTGCGGGGATCGGGGATCCAAGTCACGGGACGTCCTAGGGATCTCAGGGCTGGACTGTAAAAAGTTATTTGCGCCTAGAAATCGTGTGAAGTGAATGGATCCTCAGAGCTGTCTGATATCGCTGGAAACTTCGATAAGAGCTCGGGGAGCTTCTTCGAGATCCAAGTCCAAGAGACGTCGCTGAAATCTTCGAGACTGCAGGTCACCGGCGAAGACGTAGAATGTTGCTAAGTACTCAAGTTGAAACATCCCGCATTAAGATTTTTCACATTAAAGCACAAGCATTCAAGCTGCAAGAAATAATTCATAAAGATTGAAAATGAATTAATTTGATAAAGCCATTCACGCTGGTTGCCCGTCTTTTAGGCTTGCTGAAAAGTCCATTAATAGGTAATGGAGCGCAGTATGGCTTCGTGTTCAACTGAAACTAATCAAGGTGAAGAAGCTCATCTTCAAACATTTGATGCTTCCGTCGAAGTGAAGATGGAAACAACAGATCCAAATATTAGTGAGAAAGAAAAGTGTATGGATCACGTACCGAGTAGCCATTCCCTGATTGCTGCTTTGCCCAAGCGTCGTAGAGGGTTTAAGAGAAGTTCTTCTGAACCTCCCATCTCCTCTACGGAGGAAGAGGAAATGTCGTACCAGCCACATTCGGAATTTTTTAGTAAATACAAGCCTCTAAAGACGCACGCTAAAAGCCTTCATGTAAATGGTAACCGAGTTAAATTTGCTACTGTAATTGATGCACACGAGTTCACCGACTTTTCAGAAAAAAATAGACACGTTGTCGTGACGCCGAATAGTACGAGGAAGTCTCTCCTCGGACAGTTTCTAAAAAGAAGAAATCGAAGCCAGATGTCCCGTCCAAAGCGGCTCGTCAACGCGAAAAAAGTTTCACTGAGAACGAGAAGCAGACAAAGGTTTGCCTCGCGTTTATCCGTTCCCTCAGGAAACTCGGGTACAAAAGAAGCAAAAGCAAAAACAAGTGAAGAAATGACGCCGTCGAATTCTATGGTCGCCAGAGAAGTAAATTGTTCATTCGTGGAGAAAATTACGACACACGTTTCAAAGGATGTAAACAATGAGGACCAACACGCACCAAAAAAACACACCGCATCGCCATCCCATGGGGTAGGGACTATCGGGCAAGCGGACATTGATGGGACGTACAAACCAAGAAAAAATGTGCAAAATATCCAAAAGGACATTGACTTATCTGATCATAAAGAAGAAAGAGAAAAACTAAAAGCCACTCCAACAATTCCTGTAATGTTATCAAAAAATCAAACTTATTCAAATGCGGGCTCTTCGAGAAATTTTCAAGCAACGAATAAAATTAGGTCGCTAGAAACAAAATTGAATAAAAATGGAGGCCTAGCCGAGAATTCGCTCACTGCGATGGGATCATTTAAGACACTGGAGCTTAGGAAGAGCGGGACGTCCGACCAGGATAATACTGAGGAGTTAAGTCTGGGAGATGACCGAGGATGTCAGGAAGGCAGAAAAAAAGAGCGTGTGGACGAGGCTGGTCAAAAACAAGCGGCCTCAAAGGCATTGGGTGACGAGAGAGAAACAAAATACGGCGCTTTGATCCGAGACGCCTCGTTTAGGACTGCTCTCATGCCGGAGGCAGCTGCTGATGCCGGCCGTGTTAAAGACAGCACCGCAAAGTCCTGCCCCAAAGACACGGATCATACAAATTATAATGTTAAAATGACAGATAGGGGTAAAAGTCCAATAAGGAGCAGCAGTTGCGCTGATCGACAAGCACCAATAGCATCTAAGAAACTTGTGAAGTCTCATTCGTCATCATTTAAATTGCATGGCCAGAACAATTTAAGAAACTGCAGTAGCAACTCGCATTATGAGTGCGATGACGTCACATCAACCACCGAAGACCATTTCGCTTCGGAGAAAGATTCTCGCCTTGGACTACAAGCAAAACAGGAGCCATGTCAAGCTTCAGCTTCACGTGAAGCGTTCACTATTGGAATCACGAGCGATGAACCCGACACGACAACCTCCTGTAAAGAGGAAGATGATGAAATCGAAACGGTGGCTGTTAAGGAGGACGATGATCCGCTCAGCGATCCCCACGACTTATCACGAGCCGAAGGCCATCGACTGAACGAGGGACGCTCGATGAGAAGCTCTCCTCAGGAGTCCGGTGACGACGACACTGATGAGATGCAAATTGAGGATGATCACCTCCAAGCAAAAACCCTCGACCAGAGTCACCGTAAGGAATCCTTCAAATCTAAAGGATCTTCTCCCTCTTCAGATTCTGTCCCTGATAGCTTTCGACAGTCGTTCAATTTTTCAGCTTTTCATCCACTAGATGCAAATGCGACAGCGCTCACGGCCCAGGCTCTCTTGGGCTTCAATGATGCCATCACTGCCGCTACAGCTTCACTACTGAAACTACAATCTTCTGGTGTTTGCGCTCCTGAAAGGTCCTCCAACTCCTCATCAGAGTGTTCTTCAGCGGCCACGCAGTCTCAACTTGTTATGAAACTTTTAGCGTCAAGTGGCGCTGCAAAAGCTTCGTCTGAAACCGACGCTGGAGTCTCGTCATTATTCTCCGAAGATTCTTTAGCTGCAGCTGCCAGCGCGGCTGCGGTTGCTGCCTCTTCCATTTTCCGGCCGCCTTCCATGCCGATTTTGGACCGGCGATCAGCCTCACCAAGCACTGCTTCCGTAGCCAAATTTTCCACGATGACGAGCGGACGAGCAAAAAAACTGCCAAAGTCCGGGAATTCGCTAGCGGTTGGTCGCTCCGACGGCCTTCAAACGATCCAAACTCCGCAACCCATCCGCGCGTCTCTGAATTTAGCGGATGCCGCAGCAAGCCTCGCGTCGCTCACACCGCACCTTCTCAGTGACGCTCAGGAATATCGTCAGCTTCTGGCTTCAGACATGTCTGCTGGTACGTGTGTTGTTTCTCAAGTGTACTTAACTGAGAAGCCAATTTTCTATCTCATTCAATCATTAAGAAGTAATTCAATAATAGTTTTGACCAATTTAAATTTATTATTCTAATCTTCACAAGTTGAGTGTAATAAACGAGGTAATACAACTTTAGAGATCGTAAACTACTGAACCACTTCATATGGTCTAGTGTCATTCGGAAGCATCAGCGACCGCTCTGAGCTGGACGAGATTTTTAGCGCGACACTCGTGCGTTCGAATCTTAAGCCGTCTTGAATATTCACCAAGATTTGCATCTCGTTGGTGTCGAGACGCTGCGCTAATGAAAGAGCCTCACAGTGTCGCCTCGCCATAGAATTAAACGGCCCTCTTTGGCTTTCATAAATATCTTTAAATGGGTCTCAATATTTACGAATATCTATTTCGAAAATTTAATGCATCGTATCACTTGCACGGTTTAGTTATTTTTCACCAAAATATAAATATTTGACAATTGCTTTTTAAAGCTGGATAATTAGTTCCATGAATACTGTAAAGTCAGTCTCTTTTCGCACTATTTCAGTCAGATATTATATTAATATCTTTAGCCTTAAATACGTGTTTTTGATGGCATAAGACTGCCTTGTTTATCCATGCCGTTCCTCCCGCCCATTACATGGTCTTGGTATTTGGCCCCTCATGAGCTTACGGGGTAGCGTCAAGCCCCAAAGTTCATCCAGTGAACTCAGCGGGCCAAAACCTTTTTGGCCAGGCATGTGATAACATCGCAGCCTCAAGTTCCAAAGTTCATTTTAGAGAATGCAGTTGGCCCAAAAAGATTTTGAACCTCTGTCTAAAAAGATTTCGGCCCCGCCTGGGCTAACATCGCAGCCTCAAGCCCCAAAAATCCTTCGGTGATCGCAGAGGGCGAAAATAGGTTTTGGCCCTCAGTCAAAATATTTTTTGGTCCCGCATGGGCTAACATTGCAGCCTTAAGCCCCTATTTTACTTCAGTGAACGCAGTGGGCCTGAATCTTTTTTGGCCTCTAATGGGCCAACGTCGCAGCCCAAGGCCCCAAAGTTCATCCAGTGAACGCAATGGGCCTGAATTTTTTTTGGCCTCTCATGGGCTAACGTCACAGCCCAAAGCCTCAAAGTTACCCCAGTGAACACAGTGGGCCTAAACCTTTTTTTGCTCCTCACGGGCTAAAATCGCAGCTTCAAGCCCCAAAGCTACTTCACTGAACTCAGAGGGCCAAGATCTTTCAGCCCCGCATAGGCTAACATCGCAGCCTCAAAGCCAAAAATCCTCTGAAGAACGCAATGGGACAAAAAACTTTTTTTCCCTGCATGGGCTAACATCACAGCCTCAAGCCCCAAAGTTCCTCCGATGAACACAATGGGCCAAAACCTTCTTGGCCCCCTCATATGCTAACATCGCAGCCTCAAGCCCCAAAGTTCCTCCGATGAACACAAAGGGCCAAAACATCAGTAGCCCCCTCATGCGCTAACATCGCAGCCTCAAGCCCCAAAGTTCCTCCGATGAACACAAAGGGCCAAAACAACCGTGGCCTCCTCATGTTCTAACATCGCAGCCTCAAGCCCCAAAGTTCCTCCGGAGAACGCTCAGGGCTTGAGGCGCAGTCGTTCTGAGCCGCGTTTTACGGAGCCGTCGCTCGCCGTCACTCATAAAGATTCCAACAGTGTCTTGTGCTCCCCTGGAGCGATTAACTCGGGTTGCGCCTGCCGTGATCTCCCGCAGGAATACCCTTGTTGCAACTCCAATGTCAAGGGAGAGGTGAATATCATTATTAAGCGCGTCTCTGAATATTCATGAGCTGCCTGGTAATTTCCTTGCCTAAAGATAGGCACTTGAGTGCGTGTGATCTTACGGAGACACTTGCATTCTACTCGCCAAACAATTGCAGAGAAACGAGCAGCGCATTATTTTGGGTGAAATTTTTTTATGAAAGCAGACAGAGCTGAATTTTTTGCACAGATTTATTCTAATAAACATCTTTTAATAGTTAAATACATTTGATTTGATTTTTTGTTCGGTTTATTGAGGAACATTCGTATTCAATTATAAGTACGTCAATTTCATGTCGAATTAATTCCTGGCTTCCACAAAATTCTTTCAATGTTTTTGACATTTCTCTCGTTTTCATGGGCTATAATTAATCTTCATGTTCAGCAAAATACTATTTAGTATCAAGATTTTGAGAATTTTGTTAAATAATTCTGTTCAAAATTATCTTCCAAAAACTAGTGTTGGTTTTATATCCGTTATGCAACATTTGGGGAAGCAACATTTGTGGCGGAAGCATAATTCAGTAAACGAGTGTCAGTAAAATCGTGTGCCAATATTGCACGCTCTTATAGTATTGTCTAGTTTCTGGTTGACTCAAATTTGATCATTTTTTCTTACGCAATTTAAATTTCAGCCATGATTAAGTTTAAGTCTTTCACATAGCAGCAGGACTTAATTGAAATCTTAATGATGTAATATTGAGCTCATGAGAGGCTGAGACGACCGCGCGGCAGTTCAGCGGCAGAGGCTTAAGCCGGCACCCGAGGCCGCGGCATCATTGACTCGCAGCTGCTTTGCTGATCTGCTGCGATGGTGTGACTGTTGCTGCGACTGTTGCTGCGATGGTGCGACTGTTGTTGCGGCTGTTAGTGCGGCGATTGTTGCTGCAATTTTTTTGCGGCTGTTGCGAGTTTAGCGGCCGTTACTGCCTATGTTGCTGCGCTTGTTTCAACACTTGTTTGACTGCTTATGGTGTCTTCGGCATTGCTATTATCGCCCCCACTGATATTTTTTGCAGTCGGTTCAAATTACGAACTTTATTTGAAGTACAGCGATTGTGACGTTGCCGGCGTGGGCTTCTAGATTTGGTTGTCTAAATAAGTTGTAGTGCAGACATATGCGTTCAGGGAACAGTTCCCGCGATGCAGCGGCCCCAGCGTCTCCTGCAAAGAGGCTTTCACTAGCTCCAGCTTCACTCCTAATCTGCCAGCTCATTACTTGCAACCCTGCCTGTAGCTTCGTGGCCTCAGGCATCTTGCATATTAATTAGAAGTGTCCTCGTGATATGCTCCGGTTGCAGTAATCCCTCGAAAACTATTGGCGGGTAATGCCAGCATAACTATTGTTAGTATTGAATAATATCGGTTATCTTATACGATAAACTTTCTAGAGTGTATTGAATAATATTGTACTGTAACGTTTAAAAACCTCCATCAGATGAAGGCAAAGTAATTAACATTGTTGTTAGATGCAGCATTCTACTGAATCTTTTGGCCCTTGTTAAGGGCCACAGTATGTGATTCATTTTGGAAGCGAGCACATTCCACGATAACTATTTCCTGGGTGTTAATACTGAGCATGCGCAGTGTTTGAATCGACTTCAATGGAACGTTTGTACCTTGTTTGTGCCAAACATATATTCAGATATATTTCCGCTCGTTCAAAGATCAAATGAGAGATTAGCTAAATAAACTAATCACGGAGATTATCTAACAAAAATAAAATGAACAGCACTGAAGTTATTCCCCTTTCATTTATGAAACGGCACCCACGTCCAACGCTGCACATCCATAATCCCTAAAAGGAGAGGAATAGCTGAGTTGTGAGCCTCACTTCACGGAATAGTAAACAGGATTAGAAAATGTAGTCCAAAATTGCTTGAAGGCTTAGCTCTGTAGGCTCAGTGGCAATGTTCAGGCTTAGCAGTCCTCTGGCAGCGATCCTTGTGATTGTCATGCAAGAGTTGACTGTTGTGATAACCGAACTAATGCTCTGCATCCATCTCTTGTCACATCGTATCTTTCTACTGAATATTCAAAAACAATTTAACTATGAAACGTTTGAAATTTGTCACTTGATGACTTTCATTTGAGCAATTATGCACAGTTCTTCAAACGAAAAGTTGCCTGAAGCATTGTTTTAACCGATCATTCAACAATCAGTTCTCGATATGGGTGATTTTTCTAATTTCTGACGTCGCTCAGTTTGCTAGTATCCAACACTGTATGTTCGTGTGTCACTATTCAAGTTCTTTCTTCTCAAGCTGATCTTGCAGGCAGCGTCATGCGTGTGATCAGTGAGCAAGTTCAGTATAGCTCATCTGCCACGAAAGTTACGTCTGCAGGGCTCTAGTTTAGCTACATACACTCGTACTTCATACGAAAGATCAGTTTTGATGTGTATCATCAACTTCTATCAGCTCGCCAGCCCCGTAAGTTACGTCTGCAATTCTTGCGCATAAGTTTAGCGCTCAATGCTCGTCTTGGGGCTTCGCTACACGTCTTAATTAGACATTTTTGTTGCTTGCTCCGATGCTCTGTTTGCCTGGGGCACTGCGCTGCATTTCCGCAACATGGAGTAGGCCTCGGGCGTTTGGCCTCCTCGTCTTGATGCTCCCCATGAGGCCTTTTTGATCAAATAAATTAGCTAACCATCAAAACAATGCGCAATTAGCGTACTGCTGTCGCTCCTTTAACTCAGTCGCGCTGCGTCTCTCCTTTGTCTGCAATATAGATTATCCTTTACGTGATTATCTTCCTGGCTCTGTCACTTGAGGAAGTTTTGGTTGGCATCTTAAATCGAATAATAAACCCAACACTTCATCGTCCAATATTTTGACCGAAGATACAATTCTATTCTCCTTTACCGAACATAATTGTCTAAACAACTTCTTCGTCATTTCTTTAAAATTCACATTCATGTCGCTTGCTTTGGAAAACCTATAATAGTATTCGTTTCATACCATTAACGACGTAAGTATCTATACGTATTGTTTACATAAAATGCATCACTGAATGAAGCAACCTTCACAGACACTTTTTTAATTAATTTATTGTAATTTTTAAATAATTATTCAGCCTAAATACAGCCTTTCTTTTTAGCAAATTTTCTCATTTATGGAAAAAATTACCTATTGTGCTCGTCATGTCTGCCTGTCTGTCCGTCTGTCCGTCTGTCTGTCCGTGACTTCACGTTTTTGTCAACGAGAAAATGCGCTTTCTGTCACTCACTGCAGTGAGTACTGAGTGTGGTAGTATTTTTCGAAAAGTAGTACTTTTCGAAATTTATCTACCAAATTGCCACAAATTTCTAACATGAATCCTCAAGTTCATGTTTTCCCTTATATTCTCCATCTTCAAGAATATTTATTCGTGAACCTTTGAGGCGGCAGAGCGGCTTTCCTGTCTGAGCGCCCGACTAGTCGAGGCTGTGGCACTCCAGATCACGACTAATTATGTTCCTAATTGAGATCTTCTTCGTTATTCTCATTAAGCCTAAAACGCCTGCGCTCCGCTAATGAGGGGCAAAAGCCACCGTAATTCCATTAACAAAGAAAGCAGCAAAATTAGTAAAAGATTCAGGAAGTACCTGAAAAGTTCCTCTCTCCGTGCAATTTCAGGGCTGCCACTCTTTTCAGGTTGCTAGTCTCTGTTGTTTACAGGCCTCTATCGCGTGCAAGTTACTGCCGTGCGCAGGTCGCTATCATATTCCTTTCAGTCGGTCACTGTTGTATTCAGGTCTCTGTCGTCAGCAGGTCGCTGTCGTATGAAGAAGGTAGGTAGATCGCTGTCGTCAGCAGGTCGCTGCCGTATGTAGGTAGGTAGATCGCTGTCGTATGTAGGTAGGTAGATCGCTGTCGTGTGCAGGTCGCTGCCGTATATAGGTAAGTAAATCGCTGTCGTCAGCAGGTAGCTGTCGTATGTAGGTAGGTAAATCGCTGTCGTGTGCAGGTCGCTGCCGTATATAGGCAGGTATATCGCTGTCGTCAGCAGGTCGCTGTCGTATGTTGGTAGGTAAATCGCTGTCGCCAGCAGGTCGCTGCCGTATATAGGCAGGTAGTCAGCAGGTCGCTGTCGTATGTATGTAGGTAGATCGCTGTCGTGTTGCAGGTCTCTGCCGTATGTAGGTATGTAGGTTGCTGTCGTGTGCAGGTTGCCGTTGAATTCAGGTCGTATTTGTATGACAGTCGTTGTTATGTATGTCTGTGTGCTGTGTTTGCCATTGTGTGAATACGAGGCGTGTTTTTAGAATAAGTATTGTTCTTAAATTACGCCGCTGCAGCGCTACCCTACTTCTGTTGGGAAGCCACAGACACCATTCCGTAACCATTGAATCGAGTCTACAGCTGTTTACGGGATTTTTAAAAACCTTCATCTATTGAGAATACCACAATCTCCAAAGCCCGTTACTTTCTCCGTGCTCCAGGCTTAAAATCAGTTGGGATTCATCACCGAATCAGTGAAATGTATTGTGAAGTTATGAAATGAGTTAAGGGCTTTAAATATTGCTGAACAAACTAGGAACGAAGTGGGAACGAAGGAAGGAAGTGAGAGACCTTTTTGAGCTCTCCTTCGTTTAGGAACGAAGTGGGAGACCTTCATTACCGATAATCTGATATAAAAATTAAACAGTAAAGTGAAAGTGAGCCGTCGATTCACGATTTCGTCCATAGCTGAAAAGTTTCCTGTCTCAAGAAGTGTTCTTTACGAAATTGTCTATTCATATTGTCCAATCAGGCGACAAGCTTCTCTGACGATGGCATACAACAGCTGGTCCCAAAATACGATGAAGATTGCGATACTTTTGGGAATTTGTAGAAAATTAGGTAAAGTATGTCTTTTCAAGTGAAAAAATGTTAGAAAAATGTAAGTAGTTTTTGATGCCAAAAAGGGCATCAAACATGCCGCGTTTGTCAATGTATAGTGTAAGTCGATGTAATATGGATGCCATTGTACAATGTCTGTCGAGGTCGCCTAACTGACCTAACTCCTATTTTAGTTGATTATCGTGATACTCAGTCTCTAGACCTTTGAATGAATAATATATCATTTGATGATATTAGAGGCGTATCAACGGGGCTCTTTCGCAGTTAAAAGAATCGATGGAAACGAAATTTCCCGCAATTAGCACATCTTGATTTTTTTGTAATAAAACGTTGAAACTCGTTTACCGAGATTTTGTTTGTTTGCTTTAAGAATTTTGTTCGTGTATTTTCACGCGCACCAAAGCAATTAAGGCTTTGCTGAAGGCAAGCCCTCGGCTCGCCGGTATTTAAAAGCTCCCAAAAATTATCTCAGCCCGTTAACTTTTCCATTTAAGACGTTCCCTCACTAAGCTTTTTAGGCGAGTCATTTTTTCCTTTTATATTTTAATTATGGCAGGGTCTTTTTTAGAGTGGTGTCGATTTTTATTAGTTCTTCAGATGATTTCAAAGAAGTAGGGGGGACATCGCTGTCCACACACCTCCCTCCACTCCACTCGATAATCGATCTCAGGATAAATGAGATCACAAAGCAATGATTACATCTCGTCATCAGCAGCATTCATAGTAAAATTATTAGGTAGTATAGTAAAAGGTGGATATATGGTAATGTAGTGTTTTTCATTAGCAAAATTGGCGTTCAATTTCACTAGTAGCGCGTGATATATCCTCTGTTGCGACAAATTTTTTCAACAATCTCAATAATAATAAAAATTTAGTATCATTAAATTAAAGTTAGTACTATTAATTTAGAATAACCTGTAGTATTATTAAATTTTCGAATTAATTTTCACTAACTGGAATGCATATTTTTGACTGCAAAGTGAATAAATTCAGAATAGTTTCTTCTAAAATGGGACAGCCATTAAATATTGTCTATCATTTGAAGATTTTATTATGTGTGGGCATTAAAGGCGTATAATTATGCATCTTCAATATATGAAGAACTTTCAATTGCGTGAATGAATAGCAACGGAAGAACGAAAGACATCCAACAAAGAAATCATTCATGATTGTGGTGTGGTTCTTGAAGAACTCGAAATAAACTTTAACGTAAGTTGTAGAAACTGTAACGTTTCACTATTGGCATCGATAGGAGAATTCTCTACCAAACTCCTTTCAACAAATTTTTGACCTTTAACAACTTTGTCACAGAAAGTGTTCACATTGAAATTAGAACCTCGCAATTCCCGATTACTGAAATCCACTTGAATGCACTTCCACGTGAATCTAACCGCGTGCACAGAAAGTCATATTGGTCTCTCCGTTTATAGAATCCATTCCGTCTACAACGAGTTTGAAACCCTATATAATTTTGCATTGTCCACGCGTAAATTCGTGCAGTGAGAATGAAAGCACTCATAAGAGGAGTAAAAAGCGTTGCCGCACCCGTCCGCGTTAATTACTGTCCCACGATCGTGTGAAGAGCAGCAAGTTTTTCTCCTTGAGAGTCGCAACGGAAAAATGTCGAGTGAGAAAATGCAGGCGTCTAAAATTGGATTCTTTGGGGCGTCCAGTGGGCGCGAAATCAGTGGAGAATCTTTGATGAATTTGCGTCTGCACTTGAAACTTTGACGGGAGGAACGCGTTGCAGGGAGATGGAGAGTTGTGTCTGTTGCAGTTGCTGCTGTTATTAGAGAGGCGCTGTTGCATATGTTTCTGTTAGTTTTAGCAATGCGTGCATGTTTTTAAGGCTGTGGTTTATAGAGGTTAGTTACTGTGCTTTTTTGTTGTGGAAGCTATTCCTTAGAGATGCGTTATATCACCTGTTATTGTTGCTTTAGTTTCTCTTGTGGTACAATTATATGCCTTTTAATCTTTCTGGAAGACCGAAGATGTGTTCAATTGATTTAAAAAATGAACTAACCCATTGCGTTTAATTTTGCCTTATAAATCCTTGGAGAAAGACGTAAATGTCATTTTTTCGTCTTCATCCCACACATTTTTTTGCCAAAAGTATCATCGTGGATCTATTTCTAAGGTGTTAGGCATTACTTTCTGCGCTACCTTCTAAAAAAACTTGAATTCCAAAATGCTACTGCATGCAGTCCATTATATTTAACCATTGCACCATTTAATTTCAAAAACCTCATCGTTCCGTTTAATTTTTAACGTCTCAGCGATAATTTGCACCGTTTTGTGCGTTACAGAGAGCAGCAAGTGTCCCACTCCGGGCTGCAACGGTAGCGGTCACGCCACGGGCCTCTACTCCCACCACCGCTCCTTGTCAGGCTGTCCCCGCAAGGACAAAGTTACTCCTGACAGTGAGTCTACACTCACTACTCACTCTATGGCCACTCATTCGAGTACTGTGATCTTACGTCAAGGCTTCTATTAAAATTAAAAATCTATTGCGTGTCTTTTGATTATAAAACGTCACAGAAAAATTCACAGATAGTCTTTTAACTCGATGCTCGGAATAGTGAACGTTTAAATAAAAAGTTTTTATATAGTGCGACCCTGTCATATGGAATGCAGATTTTTAAACTTGTGACTGATATAAGATATGACGAAATAAATTAATCGATTTGACGTTTGTCAATTTGAGCTGCAGCACGAGTTAATCCATACTTTTCGAGTCGTTTCGAGCCTCTGTTTGCTATGGCCCCATAGTGTGGAGCCATAGCCAACAGTATGGAGTCCATACTTAGTGGTAAACTTACTGTAACATCATCTGTGTTCTCTTAATTTCATCTAGTGCATTATCATTAATGTATTTGAGCATCCAAAAATGATCATTTCATATCGAATACATTGTTCAATTCAAAATCTCGTGTATCTTCTCTGCTTCGGATGTTAATTTGCATTTAAGTGTACTTTCTCCTATAATTTATTTTGCACATCCTACGTTCTCCTGTATTTTTACACACTGTAAATGTAGGTTTCATTATAAGCCTCTCACTAATTATTCTATATTTTATGAGAATGCTTGACATAATTAATTATTGTTCGGTCAGTTCTTGCGGCGCACGAGACGATCGTGAAGTGCCCGACTCCAGGCTGCTCTGGCCGCGGTCATGTAACAGCCTCCCGCCACTGCCACCGATCGTTGTCGGGCTGTCCTCTAGCCGCCGCTTCCCGACAAGCCGCCAGAAGTCACCGCCATCGAATGGCTTTACTTCAGCAAAACACCACCACACCACACCACCATCAATACAATCAGCAACTGTCTCCACAGCAGCAACAAGGTTCTCATCATCAGCTGCAGCACCAGCAGCAAGTCGCTGCGGCGGCAGCACGACAACATTACTTGGGGACATCCAACGTCTCGTCTCCTGCACCTGCTGGTACGTCCGCGCCATGTTATACTCACGTACCTCATTGCAAAAATGGTACCTGTGATATTTCACACTGCGCCTTAATTAAATTAGGTATTGTACGCCCTAAACATACACCCTATGTGCCGCGTACGGCGTCACCGGGCTGTGCCTATGAAATTTGGGAAAGTTCGCAGTGCCTAATTTACTTGAGTTTATAATATCCTAATTTTTAAAGATTTAATTAAACTGATTTCCTTACACTTTGTCTACTGAGAAGACTTACTTATTTAGTGTAAGAAAACTTACTTACTAACGTACGTCTAATTCACTCCGGCAGCTCCCGGTGGGGGCCGCAAGCGCAGCGCAGAAGAGTCGCTCGACATGAAGGTGGGCACAAGTGAGCCCTGCTGGGGGGCAGCCCCATGCCCTGCCCCACTACCCTCCTGCCCTCCCCCGGCTTCCCCAGCACACAGACCAATGGACACGTCCCCAGCCCAGCCTCACGACTCCTCCTCGAAACTTCCCTCACATAACAATAACAACATCAATACAGCCAATAATAATACTACTAAGTCTCCGTTGCCTGTAATTAACAATACGAACAACAATGGAAGTATAACTGTAAATCATAGCGCTGATCAAAATAAACCAAACCAAAACCGACCTCAACAACATCAACAGCAACAAAATTCTGTCAGTACCCCAATAACGTCTGTTTCTACTGTCACCCACAACAATAACAATAGTAACAACAATCACACGTTTACAGCCCCTCACCCACCACCTCCCCACACCAAGTCCCACGCCACCATCAACGGCTTGAATCACAATAACAATAACATCAGTAACAACAGCAACACGAGCAAGGGACTGAGTGCATTCAGTGGAGTTAACATAAAATCAGAGTCTGCAGGAGGTTTACAGTGTTTCAACTACAAGTCTGAAGAAGAACAGCAACAACAGCAGCAACAACAGCCGTCGCTCGTCAGGCCTCTAACTGAGGTCCGAGAAAACAACACAAGGTGCGATTAACTTCTGCCGTACTGGATTGTGTTTGGGGTTATCATGATTTCATTTTGTTTTAGTGAGTCCACAAATAATAAAACATGTGGTTGGAGACAACTCATGAATGTGGACTTATAATTTTAGTAAGATTTTCACTTTGCTACCACCAGGCTTGCGTTACCTGCCTATTATATTATTCTTAAACGAAATCGTGAATTGACTTCATACTGTCAGATGGAAAGATCCAGGATTAAATTTCATGATTCCCCACCTCGCACAGATTTTGTTTTCTACATATTCAGTTTCGGATTTTCGTTATGTTTTCCATACCTTTTCAGAGTTGTCATTAATTGTTTAATTAGTTGAGACGTTTGTTTTTTTAGCGCTGATTTATCTCTTTCATCAACTACTATTTCACTTTATTTTAAATTGGTAACTCGTGCTATTGATGTTATATTTTATCAGATTTGACATCAGCACCGCATCGTACTTGGATCTGGACCGTCAGTCAACGATCACGTCGTCTCAGACGGCACCTCATCTGTCGGCCTCGTCAACCACAAGCACCTCCACTCCCTCCTCGTCATCCTCCGTGCCAAGTTTCCACTCGTCTGTCCTCACCCCCAGCTCAAGCGTGACCAGCCTGCACAGCACACCAAGTCTCATGTCCCCACACTCGCATAACGGATTCCCCAGCTCCATCAAGTCAGATTTTACTCCCCCAGCTCCACCTCCTGCTGTCGTTTCGTCTGCTGCGAGTCATGAAGCCTATTTTGCCGCTCACTACGCAAATCCCAACAAGACTGGAAATTTGTGTGACATTAAGAGTATGGATACATTACCTCCCATCTCAGCCGCATATCATCCCATCCCGCCTCCTCCTATGTATCAAAGGTGAACATAATATTACTCTCTTTTTTATTTTTGTTTTCCCCTAAAGATCTTTGAAATTTCTGATAATGTAGGCTTTAGCACACGTATTTCCCATCATTACTTATGTATTTAATTGAGAGGGCAAATCATTTGCGAGTGGGATTTTTATTAGGTTAGCAGTTACGACGGTAATGAGCGTGACGGTAATGACCTTCACGGTAATAAAAAGTGACGGTAATGACCTTCACTTTTTCGTCATATTAATTAAGTGCTTATTTAGAGTTTTGTAAGATGTACAACGCTGTATTCCCGCTATTCTCATAAAATCTTTGTTTTGTTGCTTCAATTGAGTCCTAATTTAACTCCTGCCCTACCCTGATCAGCGGAGGCTACAGGTACGACAGCCCCGCCATCAACTTGAGCGTGAAGACCTCGGCTCTCGGCCCATCGTCCATGTCCCCAGGGAATGTGATGGACTTGTCAGGTCCTCTAGTGACGTCCCCACACTACCCGGGACCTGGCGTGTCCCCTTGTTACAGTGGGCCACACCTCGTGTCACCTGGCAGTGCTGCAGAGTCTCATCAAACACTAGACTTATCTCTTAGACCTCCTGGGTCGTTTAGGTAGGTCATCTACTGCATGCATATTTTATTGAGCATTTTTGTAAGCGCTGTGCAGATAATGGGTGATGATAACTGGTGCTGATCGTCAGTACCTCAGTCATCGACATAAAATAAATAACCGAAGTTAAAGCCCAATTAGTAGACATTTGTCCAGCATGACTGCTGTGCAATATTGTCAAAGAGCACAATTAAAAGACAATAAACACAATTAAAAATGCTGCATGTTTTTTTGAAGGGACTTATTCGTAATGGCAGCTTGACCCGCGTTGCCTCAGTTAGGCGATACCTAAAAATAGAGGATCTTACTTTCCCAAATCTCGTTTCACCAAATTATACCGCTGCAAATTCTCAAATTAAATAAATGTTGTAGTTAAAAAAACGCTCATACACATCACTTAAACAAAGTCTTCATAATATAACTATCCAGTTAAAATATAAAAAACTTAAATGTTCTGTTTTTGACTGAATGACTTTTCTACAAAAAAATTATTTCCAACATCTTTCCCCCTGTCCTGCTGTCGCTTGATTAAAATAATAAAATCTCATTTCCGGTTAATATCTTGATACGATAAGCATTGCGAACATGCGATCGAATGGCCATAAATTGCACCTCGTTACTGTACGTAAAATCTGCTCACCAATAAAGATTTTATTTGATACAATGCTAGTAGAAAATATTACCAGGCATTTAAAAAAACTTTCATTTAGGTTAATCGTTTAGTAACATCGTTACTATCATGCAGGCTGCACGAAGCGAGTCAAGTTTCGATTAATGAAGAACCAATGTAGGAGAGCTGTAGTCATTTCTGGTTAACAAATAATATGCCATTTATAAGAATTGTATCATTTGCAATTTCTGAACTCCCATTGCATTCCCATTGTTAAAATATCACTGCTCCCACCAGTCCAGACTACAGTCCACCATCGCGCTTGGGAGGAGTTGTTTACCCCGGACACCCACCCACCTTCGGGCAACCCGCACCCATCGACGAGCAGACCGAGCCCGTGGACTTCAGTTCCCCCAACGAGCCCGTGAACTTCTCGCTGCCCCGGCCCCTCGACTACCCTCCTCCTGCCCACCACGGCTGCCCGGCGCCAGATCCTGGATATGCTTCCGACAGAGCGGCTCATGATTTCCGCAACATGAATGGTGAATGGCGGCTATAGTGAATGTCGAGTGTTGTGCTTAAATTAAGTTTTAATATCGTACAGGAATGGAGCGTACATTGCGGAACAAAATAGCGGATAGTTCGCTTTATGTCCCTTGATATTAAGGGTGACGCTATACTGCGAATGCTCATTTTGCCAAACAAATGCTTATTGATTGTTGGGTGAATAGTTTTATTTGACCAGCAGCTGCTGCCGTGGTGAGATAGGTCAATGAGAATAGGAAATTAATCAACTTTTATAGATAGTTGCTTGCTTTGACCTTGTCAGGCAATTGTGAATTCAGATTAAAAGGCAATGTTTTGGTTCTAAATCTGTCAACATACTTCAGAGATCTTTCCCGTCGGACTAATAATCGTCTTCTGTCTCTTTCAATGCTGCCTCACCGAACACGGAACCTTCGTTATTCTCTTTAACCTTTTCATTTATTACTGAAATATTATTTATTATTTTATCACAAATATTACTGAAAATTTATTTTTTGTACGTACGCCTGTCAACTTCTTCCTTATTTGCCAAACTGTGGCCTTTTCACACGCTTTTGGCTGCACGGTGTATGCTTGTGTTCGGTGATTTGCCGGAATATCATTGAACAAAGTCAGGCTACAACGCCATGACAAGCCGACCGTATGACGTCACGTCGGCCTATAACACCGGTTACATGGGCTACCAGGGCTACCAAGGAAGCTATATGGGTGCAGGGGGCTATGGTGCGGCCATGGGTCCAGTGGGACCAGACTACATGTCTTCTGCAGCGTGTGGGACGCCGTACCAATTGTCCCCGTCTCGCACACAGCCTCCTCCAACTCCCCTGCCTGAGAGGTACATTAACTTCCTAACCTCACTTGTCCCTTGTTGCAGATCTAGACTATGATATATTAATGTGTATCGAGCTGAATTGAAACGTATTCAGCATTAGAACTTCTAACATTGAAATTTTAGTTTACTAATTCTAATTACTGTTTTAATAATCTGAGTACATGTGTGGCGTCCGCCCGTTGACATTAATTATGTATTTGATGAAGTGGCGTCCGCCCGTTGACATTAATTATGTATTTGATGCAGTGGCGTCCGCCCGTTTGCCCGCAGCAGCAGTCGCCGCGACGGCAAAGAGCTCATCCAATGCCCCACGCCGGGCTGTGATGGCATGGGCCACATCACCGGCAACTATGCCACCCACAGGAGGTGATTAACTTCTCACGTGTTTTCTTTTGCTTTTCATCTTTTGGCGTTAACTGTGCAATAATTTTTCATCAAATAATTTTCAGTTTATTACAAGAACTTAATAACAAATGGTAAGACGATATACCTATCAAATTAAGTAATGAATTCGAGCTACTAATGTGTTTGAATCTCATTTTACATTAGCGTTTCGCCCATATTATGTATTGAAGATTCACTAGGATCGGATGATATCGTATCATATCATATTGATGTCGGCGCTGAAGAATAAGCCTGATGTGGCCTGTCGCCGATTCTTGTACTTTTCGTGACTTGTACACGGGAGATCTAGAAACAGGTCCTTGGACCAGATCTTTTCCAAACTGACGATGATTTGAAATAGCTACTAGACTTCCACCGGGTTCGGGAGATATCAAAGCATGTTGTTGAAACGTTACGTCCGTGTTTCGTGGTAATGTCTCACCAGGTTAATATTCTCACCTGTTTAAACTATTTTTTATGTTATTGTAGCCTGACGTCCGTGTTTCCTTTTGATCACTCACTAGGTTTGCCATGTATTGCAGCTTATCGGGATGTCCGCGCGCCGATCGCTCCGCAATCCAGCATCAGACCCAGGAGCTGAAATGCCCTACGCCGGGATGCGATGGAAGTGGTCACGTCACAGGCAACTACTCTTCACACCGCTCTCTCTCCGGATGCCCAAGAGCAAACAAACCTAAACATAAACCCAAAGACTCTCAAGACTCCGAACCTCTACGGTAAGGATCGGCTAAACACCCGAATAACCGTTCCTGGTTTCGTATGGTATTGTTTTTGGTTTATGAAACAGATTGGTTATCAAGACCAAGCTAGGTAATGTTCAAAGACTCGTGGAAAGGATGGAGCTGTCAGGCCTCATTAATGACGGAACCATTAATTTTTTCGTGCAGGTATTGGCCTGGGCTTGGCAAAATTACAATACTAAAGTTTGCAGAGAGTTTATTTTAAAAATCTCTGGACAACAGGAAATTTATGCAAGCACACAGCATACAATATAAGCAAATGAATCAATGATACAAACATTTCATTGCAAGTTGTTGGCAAAACTATTTCAGTTTATGAATTGTGAACAAATAAGTTGGAGCGTGAAATTAACTTACAGAAGTAATTCGCTCCTAAGGCAGGTTTGAATGTAATTCAAAACATGGGCTGACAGGTAATATTCGATGCTAGGGAAAAAGGCGACTGAAAGCCGGAACGAAAATGTTACAAGAAACATCAAAATGAAATTGCGATCACAGTATTTTTTTTATAAAAACTAAGCGAATAACGTTAATATTCCTCGGTAAAACTATTCATTACTTTTTACCTTAATTTTGGCATAAAGTATATATGGCCATAACGTTAAAATCGTTATTTGAAAACAGGATTTGCTTCTTCAGAGATTTCATCTTCATTGTTTCAATGTCTTGAGGATAATGAACAGCTTTTGTTGTTCACTGATATTAGTCTTACTCAAGAGGAAATAGGCTAATTTCTTTACAGATTACATTTTATGATAATTGAAACTAACTCAGCCTGAGGTCTTCGAGTTCCAATGAGAGAAACGCCGAAAGCGACCCTGGGTAAGTGTGCATGCATGAATATGCCATTGAAATGCCTATCATCAACCGTGGAACGCCTGTGATGGGAGCTCTAATCTTCCATGTTTTCATCACTATTTAAAAAATATAACTCAGTACTCACTGCAGTGAGT